AGCTGATTGACTGGAATCGATAGTTAGAAATATATTGTTAAATATTCTTAAAAGAGCAGTCTCTGTACTGTGGTATTGCTTAAATCCTGATTGAAACTTCTCTGAAACACCATAATGGTCGAGGTAGTCCTGCAGCTGCCTGTAGACAATTTCCTCCATGACCTTAGAAAGGAAAGGGAGTATGGAGATAGGCCTGTAGTTGGAGAGCACCTTGGGATCGAGATTAAGTTTCTTTAAGAGCGGCTGACTCTCAGTTAACTCTCTGCTCTCTCTTCCTGGTCATCATGCTGTCTGGAGATTTAGCTCCATGTGGGCAGCCTAGCAGAACACAGCCATCCGCTGATGCTCAGCGGAACAGCTTCTGCAGATCCACATCACGCTAGGTACAGGCAGCACTGGGAAGTGAAAGTCTGACCAGATGTGCCTTTTATGGCTAGTGATAGTAAAAGATCAACACGTGAGGAGGAGAGGGGAGGGGCTTTTCATGTGCCATTTAAAATCTGACATCCTAGCTCCTACCTCATACTCCACTTTCACCTACTCTAATGTACATTCTCTCTGTACTTACCTCTATCTATGTGCTGTGACCCCTTCACCTCTGACAGAGCCAGCTGACCAGCTTTCTTCCTCTAAGTGGTCTACTGTTGGTCTCGACAGAAAGTGCATTAATAATCCATAAAGAAATACATCAACCTAAATGTTTTCTAACCTGAAAACAAGCTGCAAGGACATAAATCCTACAGATAAAACATTGTTTCTTCTTCTACTTCTAAATAGAAACCAGACCAGGAAATTAGAGCTAAAAAGATCGGTTACATGAAAATGTCACTCACCGACAGGTTCGGCAACCTACTCGAGTATTTAATCAATACCCCTGATATCGCATCATTGGACTTATATGTATCCAAAACCCTTACAGGTTATATGTCAACATAAATTCTGCCTACTTGTCAATTAGAAAGATGACTGGTGAATGCTCTAGGCCTTACTGATTAACTAGTCACCATTAGAAGGGCAGAAAGCATCATCTAGTCACAAACAGCTTTCCCTAGTCAGGGTAAAACATACATAACAAGCAAATTAGCAGAAAGGTTGAGAAATGATTAAGCAGCTTTTGTAAGAAATAAACACCTCAAGTTTACAGCTTAAAAATACCTAAAGACAACTAAATAATCTTGTGGAATCCCACAAGTATGGCTAAGAAAACATGAAAACCCATTTTAGCTCCAAGCATCAGCACTTCATTGTGTCCTGGGAAGCTCCAAACCAACACACACTGCACCTCACAAGCACACACTTATCTTTCTGTATGCAACCGACACAAGGAGGAGAAAATAAAAAGCTCCATAAGTTACTGAATGTTCAGATTAGATTAGTTCCAAACCAGCCTCACCACACTCCAACAGATAAATAAAATGATAATAACAAAAGCAGAAATAGTGCGGCATTGCCTGCTGTGGATACCTTCCTCTGAGAAAACGAGTTGTGACATGTGACAGCAAGAAAAAAAAAACTCAGAGTATTTTCTTTTAAATAAGAGTGACGATAAGAAGAATGATGCTGTTAGCAGCCTGCGACTGATAACTTTCTAACAAACATCTGACGCTGACGATGCCCAAGTGAGGATTGCTGACTGTGAGGGACAGGAAAGGATTAATATGTTGCGATTATCTTTAATGCAGGTTGGTAATGTGGTGAAATATATCACAAACACCTAAGGCCTATTGTTTTCTGTTTTCTTGTCATTTAAAATGAACTAAAATAATATTTAAGGATGCATGGTTGATTTTATGAGCTGCAGCCATGTAGATTCACTATTTTCAGGTGAAACACCATCATTAAAATGTGTTCTACTTTATTTACAATTGTCTGAAAGCGCACTTTAGCAGGCTAAATGCATTTATAGCCGTGAATGTGACAGAATGCCATTTAATAATTTGAAATTCACATATAGCACAAGCTGTCCTGGTCGATCCATCTCCCAGACACCATGAAGCAGAATGTAGACTTCTAGGAAGGAGCTATAGGCGTGGAGAGGAAGAGGGTTGAGCCAATACTGTCAGTCTACACTCCTCGTTAAATTCTAGTCTATAAAACACAAATCCAACCTGATACTTTCTTAAATGAGCAGCAGATTTTAGTGTAACAAAAGTTATTTAAACCAGCTTAATGAGCAGGGTAATGCAGAGACCTTTAAATGGGAATGGACTCAAGCTTTCTGAGCTGTTAGTCTGTGTGCAGCATTCAGGATTAGCACAAACACATCCTCTGGATACACAGGCATGTTGTGGACAGTTATAAAGTTACATATTAATAATTTAAAGGTCCTATATAATGCAACATCCACTTTTGGAGCTGTTGACCATTTTATATTATTTCCTCCCCCAAAGTGTTATTTAGCTTCACACATCTATTTTCCTGACTCAGCTGCAAAACCTCTGCTGGCCTGCTGAGCTATTGCAAACACCTGGATGGAGCACAGTTGTGTCATCATGCCCCACTCATCCCCATCATGATAGTGCTGAATCCGGTTGCCTCCTCCCCATGTCTGTAAACACTAATGCCAAGTTTCTCTGTGTAGCTAGAGGGGAGATTAACTCATTAACTGCTTGCTGTTTCCTGATCAGAAAAGCCCTTCGCTGCCAGCATTTTTCAAAAATGTGAGCACTCTCCCTCTCTGTTATCATGGAGACGCATTTGCCGCACACGCACCACCGGTTTTGTCCTGCACTTGCTTCATCCTGCCCTTCTTGCTCTTCATTTTGATGCTAGTTTGGTGAAACATCGTCAGTGATGTCCTCATTAATGTTTCACTCTGGCTCAAATTGAAAAGGCTGAACAGATGACATGCTGATGTTGCTGAACAGTCACTACATGGTCCCAAAGCCGCCGGTGCAACCGAGGTACAACCATATGATGTCACTACACAGAGGGCATTGCGACGCTGACAACAATGGCGACCTACGAGTTAAACAATTTTTACAAATTTTATAAAAATGAAGGCATTAAGAAGGCTTTCTACACCACTTTAATATAACAGATACTAACATTTATCTTTTAAGAACCACAAAGTTTTGTAACCTGGGTTCCTTTTAAGAGTCACAGAACATTGCACTGTATGATGATGTAAACACCAAAACTACCAAAACAACCAACACAAAGAGTAGACTCACCTTACATCGGGAAGAATCCGTGTATTTCGAGCCATGTTATGACCATTGTTGAATTTTGATTGGCAGAAGCTTTTCTGGTTTGCGTCCCACTTTTTTTACAGCAGCCCAAAACGATCTCCTAACACATGGATTGTCTGCTTCCTGATCACATGACGTGTGACGTACACGGATAAAGATCGGCTTTAGAGCTGGGATGTTTGTTCTCACGGTGCAGGGGCTCGTTCCGACGCCCACACAGTAAAAAAAATGCAAATGACAACTTTAGTTGTTCGCATTATTCTTTGAGAAAAGCCTAGGCTATATGTTGTTTAATATATATTTTGTTGCTTTGTGGGTTTTCCTTCATGCTTTTTAATTGACACAAGTCTAATAATGAATTCAGATGGAAGTACAAACCTCCCAAAACCAAATGAAATAGTAATATAACAAACGTCACAGAAAAGCATATGTGGCAGTGTGAACGTCCTGTCACTGTGTCCCGATTGATCATGCGCCCTGGCTACTTGGCCAAGGGGATGTCCCTTTGGCTGACTGGTAAGCGCCATGACTCTCACCCGGGAGTCTGGGGATCAAATCCCGCCTGGGCCCTCATTTCTCCACCTTGCCACACATACAGTACAGCTCCCACATTCACACATAATCTCTGCTTTCTTTCTCCAACCTGCAACTTCTTCAGAACACCCACCATGCCACGCTCCCTTAAGACTGGTGTAGCCAGAGCCAACGCCCACATAGTAGAGCTGGTTAATAAGGCCCTGGTGATGTTTGCGGAGTGCTGAGTAATGATTAATGTTCTCCAAAGTTCGGATTGGAATCTGATTTCATAATCTCATAAGCAGTTAAGTCTGTCACCATTTTGTTAAACAGCTCATCTTTCACAGCTCCCTGTGGTTTTATGGATTTTATAGAGAACTTGTTACCACTTATAGTTCATTCATCATTTGTTGTGTGTTTAGCATTTCCTGAGTTGGTTCATTTTTAGAGACACGAGGCTTTCGCGGACAGCAGCTCTGTAATATTACACATGTATGGAGGATAGTAAAATGATTGAGGTAGAAGACACAGATTAGGTTAGAGGTCATCCAGTCACTCACACCAGCAGCCATTGATCACGTCTAGCCAAAATAATAAACGTGTGCAGACATGAAAGATCAATGAGGCGGGTGCCTCAGCATCTACTAACATCTCCCTATAATGGTTTCCAACGGTCTTCTAAAACTATTGAAATATCCCCCCCCCCCCCCCCCCCCTCTTTGGACCACATGGATGCGTTAATAAAGGACGGAAAATGCTCTTTTACTCATCACTTGTTTGATTTATAACTTCTAACAGACACCTTTGTTTGATTTTCTGGAGCTCAGACCCAGTCTAACATCGACATATTTTACACTGAGATGAAACAGTAGTCGATACAAAGTGGTGACAGTTAAATGCCAGGAGTCCTAACTTTTTATCAGTTATTAAAAGGAAACCGATTTACAAGAGTCGTGTATTATAGATCTTAGTGTGTGAACCTTTTTAGATTTGACCAAACTGTCTGAATGCCACCATAAGGCCCGAAAGCAGATTATGGTCTGATCTGCTCTGAAACAGCTTTTAATAAACTCACAGAAAACAATCTCATCCAGGAAGTCATGCGACTGTTTCTATTGTCCAGGGGATTTCAGCATTGCTCAGCCATAACGGGCAGCAATACAGATCGAGTGCAAACCAAAGATCCCTGACAAAACTGATTTGAACTCCTTTCCTCACAGTGACCTATCAAACATGTGACCACACACGCTCGCAGCAGCTGCTGAACCAGTCTCACGGCTGACTTTAACTCACGTGGTGAAGGCGGGGTTGTACTTGGCTCCCAGGTAGTACGAGTAGAGGTTGAACATGCCAATCATGAAGGCCACAAACACCATGATGAAGATGACCATGAACTTGAAGATGTCTTTGACAGTTCGCCCCAGGGAAATCTGTAGTGGGCCGAAGCTCTCGTTGGCGGGCAGGATGTAGGCGATGCGGGAGAAACTCAGCACCACAGCGATGGCGTACAATCCCTCAGAGATGATCTGAGGGTCAGATGGGCGCCACTTGTTTCTGGCTGCAGAAAGAGTGAAATAGATGTTATTATGTGCTTGACATTTTATTTAACCCCTAACTCATGCAACCATTAGTTAAATATTATTTGTCAGATTTCCAAAACTGCAATGCAAAGGTAGTTCAGATAGATTTAAATGTTTAAAATGATCACATTTAACTAAAAAAGCCCTGCTTCTTAAGCTCTTTCTGAAAACAGCATGCAGTGATTGAAATGTGTGCAAGAGATCTTCCCCTAGCTTCTGGCAACACAAGCTCAAGAGACTACACAGTAGAAGGATGGATTAAGTGGGAATGAAATGAGGAGAAGCTGGACTTGAAGATGGAAAGAGGGAGGAGCAGCAGGAGGAAAGGGAACCAAGATAAGCTGAGTAGGCGGCAAACAGAGCAGATAAAGGAGAAGTGAGTTAAAGGAGAAGAAATGTGGACCGGGAGAATTCAGAAGCATGTTAGGAAGGGAAGAAGTTAAAGAAATACAAACTCAGTATTACTAGTTTGTGCTTTTCTCAGATTTAAAGTGTCATAAAAGATTCTGACCACCAGGGGGCAGAGACGATGAGGGTTCGATTCTTGGAACCTGTAGTTCAGTGACATGCATCTGATATGTACTCTACATCAAGATAATGCTGTACTTTCTGTTCAAATCTGCTTCCCTCTTCTTTTTGGAGCCGCCAGCATCATGACAACCATGAACGTGTATGTCAGCTGAGTGCTTCATAAGCTTAGTGAAAATCATTCAAACAGATTTGTGTGCTGCAGTGTAGAAAATCCTGCCACCTGACAAAAAGCTGACACTCAAACAGAAAACAAAAGCGTGCACGGGTACCTGAAACCATGTTCTGATAAATAAGTAAAAAGGACATTTATGTCACAAATGTGCTTTCATCTTCTAATCTATGCTCTACCAGCAGTTTTCACCTCGGGGGGCTGAGTCAGTCAGAAGCAGGCAGGTCTGAATGTGTGTGTGTCACATGGGATTTATTTTGTGGAACCATTTCTGATCAAAGCCCACTGCTATTTTCTGTGGGCTAATAAACATGTATCGTAAATAGTTTCTGTTCACCATCCACGAGCATCCACACAGAGAAATGACATAATACCACACTAAAACTCATCCATTCTGACCAATCAGACGTTATGGTTAGGGACGGGTACCGAATTCGGCACGTTTCAAGGCACCGACCATATTCCATAGTACTGACTGAGTTCCAATTCACTTTATATGAAGCAGTCAGTGTTGCCAACTCAGCGACTTTGTTGCTGTTCCTAACGACTTTTTGTCCCCCTCAACGACTTTTTTTCCAAAAAGCGCCTAGCAACAAACCTAGCGACATTTCTCAGGACCCGTTGCTACTTTCTGTAGAACTTTCTTGTGGATATTTCCTACAGATTACCAACAAAGAAAACATTTGCACTCTGAAACGTTCTTCCGGGAGTAAGGAAAGAACGATAATCTACACATGTGCACGAGGACTGACCAATCACAAACCGTTTTCAGCCGAGCTGATTCGCCGAAGACAAAGGTACAGTTGCAGAACTGGAGACCGCCGACGTCTGCTGCTGCTGCAGACTCACGCTTCTACTAGAGACGGCACAGGCGTCAACCTGCGATCTCTGGTTCTGCAGCCGTCAGACACTTTGGCTTTTCCTGCATTTAGCAAATAAAGTCATCGGGAGTTTCAACTACCGTCCCATTTACACACGCAGCTCTGTGGCTCATCTGAATTTCCTTCAGTGACACACGGATGGTTATACTTTGCTCGGTGCGCCGTTTTTATCACGATGGAGAGAATACACAACGGAGAAGTTGAGAAATTATGAGATGTAAAAAAACTGCTTTTTAGGAAAATGGCTGTGAGAATGAGGAGAGCAGGAGGTCTGAGTTATGCTATGGGGAAAATGAACGCCAATGTGGCGTAATGATGTCATAAATTTGTAAATTAGCATGTGACGTCATCTGGCAACATCTAGCGACTTTTGGGGGGAACTTCAGCTACTTTCAGTCAAAAACAGATGGCAACACTGGAAGCAGTACCTTTTTTCGGTACCCGTGCCACGCCAGCGCAAGAGCGTAACGTCGTCAGTCACTGTGGACGAGCTGTAAACAAAGCAGCATGGCAGAAGGGAAGCATTCTGAAGTTTGGGCCCACTTCATTAAATGGGATGGGTAACTGGGTGATGATGAAACCAGAAGCAATGATCTAAGTTAGGCATCATCATCCTAATCTGCTCCAGTAGGTAAATAAAATGTTTAAGATAACGTTAGCTTGATATGTTAGCTTCCATTCGGCTAATGGTGCGTTCACTTTCTCCTTGGAACTTCAAAATTCTGACTAGATGAAAGCGAGCGCGCTCTAAAGTTTGGCTTCACTTCATTAAATGCGATGGGCTATTGGGTGATGATGAAACCAGCTACAACAATCTGAGTATGAGGCATCTTAGTCTGCTCTAGCAGTAAAATAAACTGCTTAACATAACGTTAGCTAGATAGTTTAGTTTTTGTTTACAAAATTAATGGTGCGTTTGCTTTCTCCTTGGAAATTCCATCTTCCGAGTAGGAAAATTAAACAGTTTAAAAATGAATGGCAAAAGGAATGAAAATACACAGTAAATTTAGTTCACAGCAAAGATGGTTGCTTCAGTGTAATTTGCAGTTTATAAAACTACAAGGACCCACCCATCACACATTTTGTCCAGAGGGGAAAGGAGAGGAAAAGGAGTACACGGAGCTGGGTTTAGTTTGTGAAACACCGCAACATAGCTGCCAACTCTCACGCACTGAGCATGAGACACACGCACTTGACCCTCTTCACACGCTCTCACGCCATACCGCCAATATCTCACACTAAACCAGCGCCTGCGCTCCCCAAACGTGCATCATGCACAGTGTGTAGGGCTTATGAAAAAACCAGATGATATTAATTATAGCATTAGCTACTGAACAACATGCACACAAACTACACGTAAGTAATAATTTAACTGGCGTTATTTCACAGATAATCCCATCTGTATAATCCAAGCCGATGTGCTTTTTTCTGCTCTGGTTGTGAGATGGGCGGAGCGGTGAGCTCCACCTGCTGTTGATTGGATGGGCATGCCCGGTTCTTCCAGAACCATGAGCTGCAGTTGCGCACGCCACCATAATGGCATGCTTTATTTAGAAATGCAGCCGTGTTGCCAGCCGGTGTTGGCGGAGCTTCAGTCCTGAATGTTTTTCTTTTGTTTTCACTCATCAGCCACAGATCGCTGCTCTCGCTCACAGCAAGCTGGGCTTCCTACCGTGGCGACTCACTCACACGTTCCCTCTCCTACATTAGTTGGTGACGCAGTGAATTAAAATATTAGGAATCCTAGTATTTTAATTCACTGCTTCACCAGTGTTTTTCCTGTTTGTGAGACGTAAACTACTGGTACGGAAGCCTGGAAAGGCCAAGATTCCTCAAACGTTTTTTTTCCCTACTGACTCATATGAATTAATAGAATAGCATAGAGTACATTTGATTAGTCCCACAGTGGGGACATCCACTCATTACAACAGCACACACACTTAGAGACACAGATTACAAGTAAAACTGATTCCAGCCATGTTTGCTTTGATAACTTCAATAACTTCATGCTGATGACCCACATGAACATAATCCTGTTTAGTGGATGCAACTACATCATGAAGTTAGCTTAACATGATAGATTGTTTTTCTTGGCAGGAAATAATAACTGCTAATATTGTGAATGACATTATATTGCCCACCCCTAGATGGAATTAAATCATTTACATTAAAAGTTTCTGCAACTCTTTACTGCAGACAGAGACAGACAGATGATAGATAGATAGATGATAGATAGATAGATAGATAGATAGATAGATAGATAGATAGATGATAGATAGATAGATAGATAGATAGATAGATAGATAGATAGATAGATAGATAGATAGATAGATAGATGATAGATAGATAGATAGATAGATAGATAGATAGATAGATAGATAGATAGATAGATAGATAGATAGATGATAGATAGATGATAGATAGATAGATAGATAGATAGATAGATAGATAGATAGATGATAGATAGATAGATGATAGATAGATAGATAGATAGATAGATAGATAGATAGATAGATGATAGATAGATAGATAGATAGATAGATAGATAGATAGATAGATAGATAGATAGATAGATAGATAGATAGATAGATAGATAGATGATAGATAGATAGATAGATAGATAGATAGATAGATAGATAGATAGATAGATAGATAGATAGATAGATAGATAGATAGATAGATAGATAGATAGATAGATAGATAGATAGATAGATAGATAGATAGATAGATAGATAGATAGATAGATAGATAGATAGATAGATGATAGATAGATGATAGATAGATAGATAGATAGATAGATAGATAGATAGATAGATAGATAGATAGATAGATAGATAGATAGATAGATGATAGATAGATAGATAGATAGATAGATGATAGATAGATAGATAGACAGATAGATAGATAGATAGATAGATAGATAGATAGATAGATAGATAGATAGATAGATAGATAGATGATAGATAGATAGAGATAGATAGAGATAGATAGATAGATAGATAGATAGATAGATAGATAGATAGATGATAGATAGATAGATAGATAGATAGATAGATAGATAGATAGATAGATAGATAGATAGATAGATAGATAGATAGATAGATAGATAGATAGATAGATAGATAGATAGATAGATAGATAGATAGATAGATAGATAGATAGATAATGTGAAGAAGTTCGGGAGAGTTGAATGTTAAATTGTCCTACGAAAAGAAAATTTGTATTAAACAAAGGTCAGTTCCCTCTGTAAAGTCAGAGGTACGGAAGAGGATTAGGGCCACTGAAAAGAAAAAAAGAAGAAAAGAAAGAGAATTTGGACTTTTCCCCTGAATTCCATCAAAATTCTGAGGCTGAAAGTCAGAATTCTGAGAAAAAAGTAAGAATTCTCTTTCTTTCTTTTCTTTCCTTGTCAGTGGCTCTAATCCTCTTCCGTAGAGTAGAAATAAATAAATAAAGTCAATATTAATCTCCCCCCCCCCCCCCCCCCCCCAATGGTCGGCGAATTGTCCGCTCCCAACCCCGTGACCCCGTCTCACTCTATGAAATGTTCAACAGTTGGCAGCCCTGCCACAATATTAAAATACAAACTGTTGTATGGTATTGAAGTTTGCTTTAGTTTCATTTGTACTTTATAATACATTGTCTCCTCATCAAAGTTATTCCAGAGGGTACAGATTACATGGAGAGTACATACTGGGTTTGTTTTTGCATCACTTAGAAACAGTTGTTGTTGAACGTTTTTATATTGAAGAATTTTGTACAACACTACGATGATAAAATACAAACAGTTGTATGTTATTTATCATGATATCTATTAAATATGGTTATATATTGGGAAAATAATATATATTTAAAGAAATAAGCAATTAAAATAATTATTAAACATTCAAAAATATCAAAAATTGATACCGTTAAATACCGGTATCGATTCGTAGGTACTGGGAATTGGTACCGTATCGATTCAAACGTAAAAGTTACCCATCCCTACTTATGGTGCATGCTGGTGAACAACACAGTGGCACAGACAAAATCCTGCTAACAGTCAACGTCACATGGACATGCAGATCATGTCTATATTGAGTCTGTCTGTCCAGCCCACGTCTGTAGGACGTCCAAACAAGGTCTTTGCACAGTGGGAAGAGAGCAATGACAGAAACATGGCAGCTCTGCTTTTCACAGACTTCACAGGACATCAGTTGTGTGTCGCTGGAACTTTAAACATGTTGGAAAAAAAATCATGCAACAAAATCTTTCTCAAAATAGTCAGAGATCCATCGACTACATGATCTAATTTGTACGTCCTACAGACGTGGTCTGGACCGATAATATAGACATGATCTGCACGTCCACGTGACATTGACTGTTTGCAGGGATGCTTTGTATTTCAATGTGAGACAAATTTGAGAGGGGTTGGTAGCCAAGCTGCAAACAATTTCAGACATGACTGAGACACTTTGTGATTACTTTCACATGCTCATTTGCATAAGTATCACAAATTATTAGCGGTCACAAAAAAACCCACATGACCCAGCTTTCTAAAAAAACGTAGTACGTATGAATTAACTGATTTCAACTTATTGTTTCACTACTCTCTGCCTCCAGCTGGTCACCAGCCATCACAGCTCAGGGAGACTCTGACCTTAGGTTAAATAGTACGCCCCCTTTCATTGCTTTAACTCTGAATCAAAATATCATTAATGTTCAACATTATGAACCTCCCTTCCATTTTTACCTGAGCCACAGCCTAATGAAAAACAGCCCACAAAGAAACGACACACCTGAACCAGTGTAAGACCAAAAGTGTTCGTTTTCACTCTTGAGTCCATCTAATAAACAGTTCTTGTAATGTGGCCCGATGCTGCGTGTGTAGCGAATGTTAACCAGACCACCAAATATGGTTAGATCTGTGCTTGCATCCAGTCCAGATTGCTGTAATCAGGTCAACAAAGACAGACGTTAATGTCAGATGTTACCAGGGTCAAAGTTTCAGGTCAAGTGGAGCCATGATGTTTACATGTCTAACTTGAAGATTTTCACCAGGGACAAACAACAAAGACAAAAAATATATAGATTTTTAGATATGAAATTAGCTTGTAGAACAGGACAAAACACGTTTCACAGTCAGAAAAGGTAAACAAATGGTTATAATGTAGAATGATAACTGCTCACACAACAAACTTGCTTATTACTAAGAAATATTTAGTAAAAAGAAATATTTAGTGAAAAGAAAAATATATTTCTTGTATGAATGTCATACCATAAGTGAAGTAAGCTACTTCATCTGGCAGTGAGGCATTGCTGAGGTCGTCATCTGGTACGTGCATGTCCACATACTGCTGGGCTTTGGATGCCTTGAGGAATGCCATCAAACGTGCCGTGAAGGATGCCACAAAGATCGACAACATGCCGAAATCTAGAACATTCCAAAGGTGCATGATGTACTCTCTGGGGCCGTCGCTCCAGATCTCCTTACATTCAGACCAAATCATGCCTGAAGGAGGACAAACACACCAACACACACAGCAAAAAGCACGTTTGGTGAACAAAACCAATATGGAGTACACAAGGCGGAGGAGGCTTTTGAGACCTGTCATAAATCATGTATAGGCTATACTCAAAGAGGCACAGATGT